GTTGATATGTCCGGTTTTGAAATCCTGAGCCGAATTACCTAGTTATCGTATCGTGTTTGGAAAAACTGTATCACGAAAAGACAAGTTAAAGAGAGTAATACTAATAACTCTCACTAATATGGACTAGGGGCTTTTTTTTTGTAATAACTCTCAAAAATATATGTAATGGGAAGTCGTCTATCATAGCTATTGGTAACTCTCATGTCAACGTTTTGATAACAATTAACATCCATGAGTTGTAACTCGAGTATATGATGACTTCCATGTAACGCAACTAATTTAACTAATTAGTTCTTTGCAGTGCCAGTCCAAAGTCATATGACGCCTAAAGCGTAATTTAAAATTGATGTCCTTAATCGGAATAAAAAAATTTACGCCATATTTTTAATTTTAAAAGTTTATAATTGATTTTTTTAGGTCTAAAATTAATTTTTTTAAGCTTAAAATCAATTTTTTAAAGCTTAATCGATTTTTTAAAGCCTAAAATTGATTTTCTATTAGAAGAAATAGTGGATAATAACTCTTATATATAATGCAACTTTTTTTTTATCTGAACGATGTGGAATAAAGTTAAAAACATATTTTTTTAAAAAAATTTGAACTTTTTTTGATGTCCAAAAAAATGATAATTTTGTGGCTGTCCTAAAACTCTTGCCCTAGTTCAAGCCAGGCCGGCCCTAGTTCCTTGATTCTCCTCTTGCTCTCTAATAACTCTCACTAATATGGACTAGGGGCTTTTTTTTTGTAATAACTCTCAAAAATATATATAATGGGAAGTCGTCTATCATAGCTATTGGTAACTCTCATGTCAACGTTTTGATAACAATTAACATCCATGAGTTGTAACTCGAGTATATGATGACTTCCATGTAACGCAACTAATTTAACTAATTAGTTCTTTGCAGTGCCGGTCCAAAGTCATATGACGCCTAAAGCGTAATTTAAAATTGATGTCTTTAATTGGAATAAAAAAATTTACGCCATATTTTTAATTTTTAAAGTTTAAAATTGATTTTTTTAGGTCTAAAATTAATTTTTTTTAACTTTAAATCAATTTTTTAAAGCTTGAAATCGATTTTTTAAAACCTAAAATTGATTTTCTATTAGAAGCAATAGTGGATAATGACTCTTATATATAATGCAACTTTTTTTTATCTGAACGATGTGGAACAAAGTTAAAAACATATTTTTTAAAAAAAATTTGAACTTTTTTTTATGTCAAAAAAATGATAATTTTGTGGCTGTCCTAAAACTCTTGCCCTAGTTCAGGCCAGGCCGGCCCTAGTTCCTTGATTCTCCTCTTGCTCCAAACTCAAAGAAATGGGAATGCAGAACTTGTGAGGAATGTCAAAGAGACAAACATTGTAAAGAACTTCAAAAAACAAGAAAGATACACACCAGTGTAACTTTAATTATTTCAATGTAACCCTACATCTTTTTGCGAAATGTAACACTAATCTTCACTAATTTCTTTGATAAGTAATCTGTAGTTTGATCTTTTAAGAGAAGAGTAGAGTAGGTCAATCATGCGCATTAAAAGCTTATGAGCAAGAAAAATCACAATTTTAACACACACAAAAAAACCATATGTTTTTCTCTAAGCAAGGGACACATTAAATTAAGAAACCAGCATAGTTTTTTTGTTTTGGGGTGTAAATATGAAGAACCACCGTAGTTTTTATCGTTTAATACTAAAACGGTAAAAACAGTCAACAGTTACATTCCCAAAATGAAGCTGAGAAGAAATCACAAGGACTTGAGGGATAATACGTAGTAATTTACAAGACTCATTGATACATATACAGTAAAACCTCTATAAATTAATAATGTTGGGATCATGATATTTTATGAATTTATCGTGATATTAATTTATATCTATAAATTAAAAATTATTTTCCGCCCGTATTCTTTTTAAAATTTCTTTGAAATGATGTTATATTTAAAAACCTAAACTCATATGCTTATAAAATGACATACACAAACTTAAAATTATAACTAAAATCATAGCAATTGCAATAGAATAGTTATTTCTATTTGTTAATTGTGGACTGAATTATCTATATAAAAGTATAAATGTTCATTAGTACAAAATTTAGAAAAAAAATATGGCTATTATGCTTTATGTTAGTGCTGAAATTGAAGACAATACCATAATATATTTTTTGAAAACAGTTACGAGTAAGAAAATCAATTATAACAGCTAATTTTTTTTCACAAATTTTAAATGGAGTTAAAAAACAACATTAAAAGTTATTGATGTAAATAATTAAAGAGATGAATTTAAATAAAAAAAACATTTTAATCATATTTTAGTATATTATATCTTACATATATATATATAAATTTTTGTAATTATTAATTTATGTTTATGTTGGGACTATTTATTTAGATAAGAGTTTCAAAAAATTTATTATCTTATTATTTTATCGAATTTAATAGATTTTTATACTAGCCTGATTTGGGATAAAAAATTTATTAATTTATAGGTATTATTAATTTATCGAGTATTAATTTATAGATGTTCTATAATAGTTTTATGCTAATTTTATGATACAGATTATTTTCTTCGGACCAAACAAAACTCGACTTTCGGTTTGATTAACTAACGTGTCTCACGTCATTGATTTTGACTTATATGGTTAAATGAACTTTTCGAATTTGAAGGAACGGGTACGAGTTAACATTTATAACAAATCGTATGGTTGCCTTCAATTTTTAGATTTTTTTTTTATATGTTAAATCCTAAAGTTGTTGGACTCTTTCATACATCACATATGTTTATAATTGCTTATCTTACTATTTGGATGCAAATGGCTAATATTTGATCAAATAATAAGCATTTTCCTTAAAATAACTTTTAAAACTTTTAAATTAAGTATTTTTGGACGAACTATGGCTTGAAAAACTTCAATTTTTATTACCATTTTTTAAGTTTATTGTCCAAGCACTCTCTTAAATTCTCAGCTTTATTTTCTATTATATTTTCGAACTTAGGATATTAATATTAATTTTAATTTTAATGATTGATTCGTATGTATAGATCTTTACGACTAATTTTATTAAAAGAAAATTAGAAAATAAACCTTTTCCAATTTTTCTCCGTAGCCAACCAAAGAACACTCTATAAATAATACATTGGCCAAGAAAAATATATTCTTCCACCAAACGATAAGTTCCAAAACTCACAAAAACAAAATGATGAAAATGTCATTTCTTGGGTATAGTTTCACCGTAGTCGTATTACTATCAATCTTAACTCAAGCATATCGTCACACGCCAGCTCAACCGCCAAAAACAAACGCAAACGCAGATGTCAAACCGCAAGAAACACTCGCGGTTCACAACAAGGCCCGAGCCTTAGTCGGAGTCGGTCCAATGGCGTGGAACGAAACTCTAGCTACTTATGCACAGAGTTACGCACAAGAACGAGCCAGAGACTGCGCCATGAAGCATTCCTCGGGACCTTACGGGGAGAATCTAGCCGCTGGTTGGGGAACGATGAGCGGTCCGGTCGCGACTGAGTACTGGATGACGGAGAAAGAAAATTACGATTATGACACTAACACGTGTGGTGGTGGTGATGGTGTTTGTGGACACTACACTCAGATCGTGTGGCGTGACTCGGTCCGGCTTGGATGTGGCTCGGTGAGGTGTAAGAATGATGAGTATATTTGGGTGATTTGTAGCTATGATCCTCCGGGGAATTATATCGGTCAACGCCCGTATTAATTACAATATGATTTTGATTTGATAACTAATTAATTATGGTAATCTGTTTTATTTAAGATAATTAATATAATGACTTTTTTCTTAACAATCCTTTAATTTAAAAAGTGCCACAAGTTTTAAATGCGTCACTTCAAATATCACTCGAACAAAGATTGAAAGAATGAAATTTATTTTGGTTAATATGGTTTGACATCTTAGATTTCTAGATTTTTTTTTTTTTTACTAATTAAATTGAACTCGATCCAAAACCAATATTATTACCAAACTGATTTGTACTAAATTAAATTCGGTGCTACTTCGATTATACCTTTTTGATTATTTAAAACAACGTACTGAATTGAAAGATGAGTTTTCTCTTTTTTTTTATCCACCAAAACTGTGTATCAATATCCATTGGAAAATTTTTATTTCAATAGATATACAAAAGAATAGAGAGATATATATAATGAATTTACATGTATTAAATATCCCATATTATAAAGACAATAACAAAGGTTGAATCTTGTTATGGTGGGATTAAAAGGACCATCCTAGAAAGCTAGAATGGACTTCCTCAAGATTTCAATTAACGCAAAATTTTAAGATATAAAATCTAATTACTAGAAGAACACTTTATAAGGTTTAAGACTTTTAGTGGAACACGTCACTCCATGACAAAAGGTTTATGTCTTATACTTTTAAGAAATGGTTTAGGTATACGTAGAAAAAATCACGGGTGTTGAATAAAACTAACGAGTCACGAGATTTATAACATCACGTGGATAACAGTTTAGAGAGATTAACGAACGTAACTAACAAGATCAATCAAAATATTTAACAAAAAAAAAAACTAATAAGACCAATCAAAATTCGACGATTGGTAGTAATACCGAGATGTTTTAGGTAGATATAGAAATTTAATACTATTTATCCTATACAAAATCAAAAGAATCACACACATCGAAATAACTTTTAATTCTTTTTGCGGAGAAACCTTTGACTATTTTCTTAAATCATAACTAAACCATATATCACAAATTTTATGGGACTATATATAAGATAACGTTGATCGATTACTTAAATGAAAGATATATTTTGTTACTCTAAAATTAGAATTTCATCCTAAATTATTGAAGTTATTTTAAGAAATTTCCTAAAAGTGACTATATTCGTATCTTTTTCTTCTGATTTAACGGTGAGTATCCAAATCCCAAAAATAGTCACGGAGCTCTCGGCTTACAAAAGGTAAGAGATCTAAACGAAATCGAAAGAAAGCATAATAAGTTCCCAATCAAAAGAAGAACAAAAAGAAGAATAATGTCGTTTTCTGGTTATAGCTTCGTGGTGCTAACATTATTGTCCATCGTCTTAACTCAAATCTATGGTTTGGGAAAAGTAGACCCAATGGATGATCTCCAACCGGAAGAAACGCTTGCGGTTCACAACAAGATTCGAGCCGAAGTTGGAGTGGCTCCATTGGTGTGGGACGATAAACTTGCAGCCCATGCACAGAACTACGCTAACGTACGCTCCAAAGACTGCGCCATGCAACATTCCACCGACGGATTGTACGGCGAGAATATAGCCGCCGGGTGGGTTCAACCTGTGGACACCATGAGCGGTCCCATCGCGACTAAGTTTTGGTACACTGAGAAACCTAACTACAACTATGACACCAACAAATGTAGTGATGTTTGTGGGCATTACACTCAGATTGTTGCTAATCAATCGACACGACTCGGTTGTGGTACGGTCAGGTGTCATAATAATGAGTATGTTTGGGTCGTGTGTAACTATGCTCCTAGGCCGATGGGTGATGCCAATACACGTCCGTATTAAATTGATAAAAGTATATACATATGATAATTGTGTGTGATGTAATTAATAAAAACTACAATACTAAGTTACTATAATGAATCGACATTGTATTATACGATCAGGGATTGTTATTTAGGGATTTATAATAATAGTACTCATTCTTGGAGAATTCTTATGTGAGTTTTTGAAAATGAATATAAATACATATATATATATATATGTTCTTGTGTAAATTGTCTGTTCTCTGGTTGGAGAAGGTATATAGAATCATCTCCCATGTAATTGTATAACTTTATAGTAATGAAATAGACGCTTATATATATACACCATCATTTTTAATTTCTCGTATAGTTATTTTGTAGAATTGTTTTTCTTCCATTTCGTATAGATATATTATAGAGTTAAAATAAATAAAAAGATAATTTGAATTTGTAAATTCTTGTTCTTTGAATTCGAATGGTGACACTACAGCGACACTAGCATAAAGCCATACACCATGTAGTTAGAGAAACCATGTAGTTAGACTTTTTTATAAAAAAAAAAAATCAATAAATTACGATTGATAGTTATAAATTATTAAATTTTGATTTTATTATTTCTTGTGTGAGATTTGAAGTATATTAATGTAAATGTTTATTTTTAGGGCATCACGACTTCTTTTCCCGACTCAAAACCAGTTTTCTTTCCTGTTTTTCCATATTTCAGATTCTAAAAACAAAATTCTAAAAGATATCCTTACCGTCGCAAGACTATCGTAGCTAAAAAGAAAAAAGGAAATAAAAAAGACTATCGTAGCTATTATATCTTTTAAATTCAAAACTGAAGCGGGAACACATATGATCAGAATTAGAAAGAAATCAACGAACCTTCTAATTCCATCATCCCAATTAATACTAAAAACAAAGGTAAAAAGTCAACAATTACTCTCCGAAAATGAAGCTAGTTAAGAAGAAATCACGGGTATTGAATATCATTCACGTGTTGTTAATTTATATCACGAAGACTAGATAAATTATACGTAACTTAGAAGACTTCTTGATATACATAATTCTATAATTGTGATTATTTTCTTACACCCAATCAAACTCGACTTTCGGTGTGATTAACGATTATGGTGCACGTCATGATTGATTCTGACTTTTGTTGTTTGTTACCCGTATTTAGAGGATTTGAAAAGGAACGGCGTCGAGTAAACATTTACAACAAATCGTATGATTTTTTTCAATATTTTTTAGAAATTTTTTTGTGGACTAATTCATACAAAAGTTTATAGCTTATCAGATTATTATCTTTCAACCGGATAAATATTTGGAAGTTAATAAATTTTCAAGTGTGTGGCTTTTAGCCTTATCATCTATATATGATTTGACATATATATAGCATGTGATATTTTGATATCTATAATTTTTGGGCCAAAAACTTCACCAAAATTTGTGTAGATTATTTATCGCCACATATACTTTACTATAGAGTCTAGAAAAATCTTGTAATACTTTTTGTTTAGGCGAAATATGTTTCATTCTTATCAAATTGATCGTAGCGTTACGTTACAACTTACAATAAAAGAGCTGAGAGCATTCTTAGCTAAGGCATCTGCCTCTGCATTGTCAACACGTGGAATATAACAAAATGCAATATATAGTCAAACTCAGCTACTCTAGCATGAACAAAATCTTGTAACACTATGTGCAATTTATTGTAGCCTTGTAGGTGAATCACTTAACACCAAATCTTAGATTGATTTCCTTTAACAAAAAGAAGTCTGACATTAATTTTTTCCTCGAGATTATATTAGTCATCATTTAAAGCCTTATATAGTTTTTTTTAAATTAAGTTAAATCAACTAAATTTTAGGAATTCATTAAAAATTTCCTTATATATAAATATAAAGTCTCAGAAATGCATTTCTACTCTTGAATATTTGTTATTATCATATATTTCATTCTAGGATAACTTTGACTAAATAACTATATATGTATTATATATCCCTAATATAATTCTTACACTAACTTTGACTAAATACCTATATATAACTATATATGTATTATCGCAAATATAAAGTCACAGAAATATGTGTATATATTTTTCTAATTTTGAAAATGAAGATTTTATGCTAAAATTAAATATATTTGCTAGTTAATAATTAAAGAGAAAGTAAACCTTCCAAATTAATGCTCGTATCCACCAAAGCAACTTTTTTTTGTTAGTAGTTAAATACTATAGTCCCAAAAATAGTACCATACCATTTTATAAAAAGTTTTGTTTCTTTCCCCGGAGGCTTACAAAAGGAGAAGCAGCAATCAGAACAGAGATCACATAACCATAAGCTCCATAACAGAAAAAAATATATATACAAAGGCAAAAACAAAAATGTCGTATTTTGGTGAAAGCTTCCTCGTAATACTAACGTTTCTCTGTGTCTTTGTAACTAGATCAGCCTATGGTCTACCAAAGGTAAGGCCAATCGATGATGTCCAGCCGAGACAAACGCTAGCGGTTCACAACAAGATTCGAGCCGAGGTTGGGGTGGCTCCATTGGTGTGGAACAAAACTGTTGCAGCCTATGCACAGAATTACGCTAACAAACAAGCCAAAGCCGGAGTCTGCCAGTACAGCCAGATGAGACATTCTGGTGGACCCTACGGCGAAAACATAGCCGCCGGTTGGGTCCAACCTAAGGACCAAATGAGCGGTCCGATCGCGACGAAGTTTTGGTACACAGAGAAGCCTAATTACGATCATGCAACCAACAAGTGCAAAGATACATGCGGGCACTACACTCAGATCGTGGCCAACCAATCGTTTAGTCTCGGTTGTGGCTCGTTCAGGTGTCATGATAATGAGTTGATCTATATTGTATGTGATTATTATCCTATGCCGGTTGGTGATGCGGATACGCGTCCCTACTGATGATTTTTGTATCAAAACATGAATTAATTATTATGGTAATGTGATATTGATAAACAATAATAATATATGATTTATCTAAGTTAATGATACATTTCTATATCTAATATATATGTTAATCATCATATGTGACCAGAGTTTATGCCGCATACTTGTTTGTATATTGTAGTAGCTAGTGTTGTTTTTTGTATCACCATTCAAAAAGAAGAGTGGTAGATTGTTGGAAAAATGTGAATATATATATAAACTTTTTCGTTATAAACGATTTTCAATGTTTTGAGTGGCTTGTAAATCAATAACAAAAAAGGATCAGGTATATTTTATTTGCGAAAGAGATAGCTAAGACATGGAACACCGTGTGTTTTGAGTAGATTGGATTACGAGCATTTAGATATGGCACAATTCTAGCAGAAATTATGCAGCAAAATTCGGTCGAGAGACTCGGCCTTATAAAATGTTCAAATGCGTAGGTGAGCTTTTTGTGATGCTGTTTAAGTCGTTATTGGTCTTTTCAAAAGAAAACAAAGTCGCTATGCCTATGGGACTCTTAGACATCCTAGCTTATATGTGATAGATTAATAACATTCTCTAGCTTGTGACTTCTGAAACATCATCACTAAATTAAAGCGAAAGAAGAAAAAAAAGAACGAAAGTAGGATGGATTAGCTTTTCAACTTTCAAGAAACGTAATAATGCGTACATTGGCTGAGAAAGAAATTGAGGACATGCATTATTTTTGTTTTGTTTTAAAGCATTTGGTACCATTGATTTAACTTGAGTTATATAGGTCTGACTAATTCATAGATAACTAAAAAATGTTACCATCAAAAATTAAATTATTTTGAGACTTTGAACTTGAGTTGCAATGTGTTAGAATTGATTTACAACTTTAAGTTATGTCATTTGTGAATTTTAACTCAGATAAAAAAGTTGATTAGTAAACTCGATTATGTGAATATATATGGTGAACGGTTTAATAGGAAAAAAATGATTTCAGTTATTAGTTTTCAGCACAAAATTATGATTCTGTAAAAACTTTTAATGTTATAACAAGGGCTACAGCCTACATTTTAAAAACCTGCTTTAAGCTTCTGTGAAGCTAAGCATGACATGGCATGTGTGATAATTAGATGTATGTATACTATGGTTTCATTCATGAGAAAGAGTTTCTTACATTCTGTATACATTGCTCGTCTTAAAATGTAGCATAGATTGATTAGTTGTTAATTTGGTTCGTTACATATTTTAGATGATAGCATTGATGCACAAACCTATGAAGTCGAAAATAATGAGGAAACAAACGGTGATAGCGATCTTTTTAAAAACTTTGTTGTAAAATCGTTAATGTAAAATATTCTCAAATCATCAATATAATCTTATTTTTTAAAAACGTGTTAGTAAAGTCACTAAATCTCTATGATATTCAATGAAAGCCCAACACCAAACGGTCCAAACCTAAATTTAGCAATCCAGTAACACACATTTAGGATAAATCTCATAATCCCATATCGACGGCCACGATCAGCTAGACCACAGTAAGTCTGGTGGACGTGAAACCACAAGAGCAACGATCTGAGTTCTTCCTTCTACGCTCGCTCATATGCTAATTCTGGTTGAAACCTCTGAAGAACTCTCGTACGTCTCATTGAACAAGCTCTGTTACAGAGATCAGACTCGAATCCGTACAACATTGGTGTGATAATCGAAAAGCAAGCGCAGATTTCATTTTGATCCAAGCCGGTCTGTGCATGGAAGCTTCTCTGTAGCGGGGAGTTACTTTCATTATCAATGGCGTCTTGGCTCAAAGCTGCCGAAGGTAATTTCAGTGATTCTATGCACTCAATTCGTAATGCGTGGATGAAGAAATGGTATTTCTTGTGGGTTAATGCAGAGATAGCATATGAATAGACAAAGTCTTGAGATTTCGTGTAGCTTTGAACCTGGATAGCAGATTTTGAAACTCTCGTTATTATGAATTTTCTTCTTCAGATTTATTCGAGGTTGTGGATCGCAGGGCAAAGTCTGTGGTTGAAGAGCTGTCAGAAGAACAGTCCGAAGTGCAGTTGCCAGGTACTGTGGAGATCACTCTGAGATTAGCTCTTGTAAAAAAAATCTCATCTTTGGTTCTTAATTGATCTGTGATTATAATTTGAATGTCAGAGTCATGGAATAAATTGATATATCTTCAGAAAAAAGGATAACACATGATAATCAGAAATTTTCTATGAGAGTTTCTCCAGCTATTTAGTAACACTGGCATTGGCTTGGAGTTAGCTTTGACAACCTGATATGGATCCGATCTAGTCATGAGCTCATATTTTTATTATATTAATTTTAGTCATGTAAGTGTCTCTTATATTATGTTTTCCTGTGCTTGGGGTGGCTAAAGCTTCTAATAGGAAAGTGTCTCAAGGGAAGAGATTAGGTTCAAAGAAAAAGGTATTTACCCTGGTTCTCTTATCTAGAAGGCTTTCTTTTTGTTTGGTACATTGATACTCAGGATGAGCTTATTTGGTTGTGGAATGTATTTGTAGGCTCGTCAGAAACTTGTAAAAGAAGAATCTTTTGACAAAAGAGACCTTTCTGGTGATCGATCTGGCCCACGAGTATCACAGTCAGAGGTGCCTCCATCTAAAAGTTCCGTCTCCACTGACGAGGCTTCTTCATCAGGGCCTGTGTCGCAGACAAGGGAGATTCAACAGACTGGTGCAGATGTCCAGAGTGTTCATTCACTTCCACTAACAGTGGAAGATACAAAAAGTGACGATGCTGCTGTGGTACCTCCAGAATCTGTTGTGGGCGGTGATGCTGCCGAGTCAACTCCAAGTGGCAAGCATGCTGATGGAGATGTTCCAAATGACTCTTTGGTGCAACCGTCACCATCTTTACCTGAAAAAGAAATTGAGGTCGTTGCCAGTGAGAACTTGGTTGATGCTACCAAAAACGGTCAAGGAGGAGAGTTGGAAGATTCTTCAAAAAGTGACCTGGACAAACTGGAATCTGTAGTGCACGTTTCTTCCGTAGACGAAAGGAATGTAATTCAAACCACAAGCAATGATACGAAAGTTGGCACCTCAATCAATCTGGATAAAGAACAGGAACAGAGAGTTGCTGACACCTCAACGAATCTGGAGAGAGAGCAGGATCGTAAAGCTGATACAACTTCCACGAAGATTCAAGATCAACTTGAAGAGGTTAGTTAGTCTCTGGAAGATGAAAACAAAAATAGCAGATGCTATGTCTGCTACTTGAATTTGCATGTATGTTGATCAATCTTTTCACTAATTCTAGGCTCAGGGGTTGCTAAAAGCTACAGTTTCCACTGGGCAATCAAAAGAAGCCAGGTTAGCAAGGGTAAGCTCAAATATCCTTTGCTGCGTTCCTGCATCAAATGGGTGATAAAAACACTTTTCATCTATCGGATAGGATTTATCCATGATAGTGGTTGGACATGACCAATTTTATATGTATGCTTTTTTTGGCTTCATTTGCTTCTAGGTTTGTGCTGGACTTTCATCCCGTCTTCAAGAACTTAAGGGAGAAAATGCACAGTTGGAAGAGCTTCTCTCTGCGGAGGTAAATTTCAACAGTTTGAGTTTCTTTTGACCCAGATAAGAAAAAGTTAAAGTGATAAGATGGTCAGTCACCTAATTTTATTTCTTCATTTTTACTGTAATAGCAAGAGCTTACCAAGTCATATGAAGCTAGCATTAGACAATTGCAAAAAGATTTGTCAGCTTCAAAAAGTGAAGTGACGAAAGTAGAGTCAAGCATGGTTGAGGCACTAGCAGCTAAGAACTCAGAGATAGAAGCACTTGTCAGCTCAATGGATGCCCTGAAAAATCAGGCTGCTCTGAACGAAGGAAAATTGTCATCTCTTCAGGTTTCTAGGCGTCTTATTTGCTCAGATTTTCTTTTGCATGCTTCCCGTTATAGCATACCATGAGTCTTTAATGGTCTTAGGTACTTCCTCTCTTCAGTTGCCATTTTCTTTTTCACCCAACCACCTTTGAGTAAAATCGTTTACTATTATCAGGCAGACATGGAGGCTATTATGAGAAACAGAGAATTGGCTGAGACTAGGATGATGCAGGTATTTTTTTTTTCATTAATTTCTTCCAGGAAATTGCTGCTTGCTAATCATGAACATATATTGTCCTCAGACCATGGAATGACTTTTTTTTTTTTTTTTTCAGGCATTGCGGGAGGAGCTGGCAACTACTGAAAGGAGAGCTGAAGAGGAGCGTTCTGCACATAGTGCTACAAAAATGGTTTGTTGCCTGAAGGCCCTGAACGATTCGGAAACTTTTTTATAATGAAAGCATGATATCAATTTTTGTTTTACATAAATTTCTCTTTCCAAGACAGGCTGCCATGGAAAGGGAAAGGGAATTAGAGCACAGGGCTGTGGATGCTTCCACAGCACTTGTTAGAATCCAGGTGAGACATAATCCTTGGATTGAGCGCTACTATCACTATCGTACCTTTCAAATAGGACATCAAATATGGTGTTAGTTGCTGAGTATTGGCTTTCTGTGTTTTCATATGTTACATATTCGCGAACAACTTGAAGATTCTATGTGGAATTCTTATTTCCCAAAAACTACCTTTTTGACTTTTAAATGGCTGGTATTTTAGAGAATTGCTGATGAAAGGACTGCAAAAGTGGCAGAACTTGAACAGAAGGTGGCATTGCTTGAGGTAGATGAACTTATCTTCCACACGATTTGTTCCCCCATCATCATATATTTGAACTTCATTTGGCAAATGATACTCAGGTCGAATGTACATCTCTGAATCAAGAGCTGCAAGATATGGAAGTTCGTGCTCGCAGAGGACAAAAGAAGTCCCCTGATGAAGCAAACCAAGTGATCCAGGTTTGTCATATTAGTTTTTCATGCTCTACATTGTGAAAGTTAACTTCAATAGTGAGTTTTCAGCACACATTCAAAGTTCCTGTTAGAAGTGAAAACGACAGGACATATATGAAAATCATTTACCCTTGGTTTCTTTGATAACTCATGTATCTGAGTTCAATTCTTTTATTAGATTTTTATGATGTGTAGTATCTCATAAAAAAAAAAAAATCACCATTTTGCTTTTAGTTATAAACATTAAAAATATACACTATTCACTTTATCGATAAGAAATTCTAAAAGTGAGAAGTATATTTAAACAGCTTTTTTGAAGTTCAGATTTTGGCTACTCCAGAGAAGTTACTTTTAATTTTACAGATTCAAGCATGGCAGGACGAAGTGGACCGTGCTCGACAAGGTCAAAGAGATGCCGAGGAGAAACTTTCTTCAATGGAGGTATGTTGCTAACCTTGGAGTTCTTTACGACATGATATATTTGTTGTTGGTGCTATACGATTTGCATTATGTTTACACAGGATCCGTTTGTTGCTTATAGGCTGAAATGCAAAAGTTGAGGGTTGAAATGGCAGCCATGAAAAGGGACGCAGAACATTACTCACGCCAGGTGACATCCACTGTTTCTGACAGTCTGTCTCTTCTCGTCAATGCATTAATCTGATTTATTTTTCTCCTGCTTGTCAAGTGATACCTTTAATGCATATGATTATGTGACAAGAGCTTAACCGTTATACCCCTGACCTAGTAGGAGCATACGGAGCTGGAGAAACGCTACCGTGAACTAACAGATTTACTGGTAACATGAACTCCAGAATGTACTGATTATATAAGTCAAATTTATATTGGGAATTTTTCTGATACCTTCTGGCCATGGGATGCAGTACTATAAGCAAACACAACTAGAGACTATGGCGAGTGAGAAGGCTGCAGCAGAGTTTCAGTTGGAGAAAGAGGTCAAACGTCTACACGAAGCACAGGTTCGATCTCAAAGCTCTCGACGGTCCATAAATGTACTTTGACATTTGCATTCAAAAGATTCTAAACTTGGTTGTTTCAGGTAGAGGTAGAAAAGAGCAGAGTTTCGCGACGCCCATCAGCAACTTGGGAAGAAGATTCGGAGATCAAGACACTCGAGTAAGTATTTAACGATGTCTTTGCTAATTATATTTCTAATAAAGAAGATGGTCCTGAGATATATATATTTTGAGTTTGTTCTTCAATGCTTACAAAAAAACAATTTCAGGCCTCTTCCATTGTATCACAGACACATGGCTACAGCGAGCACACAGGTAGAGACTTTGGAGCACACTTAGAAACACTGCTTTTATTCCTTTGTTTTTAACTTTTACTCTTATGTTCACTTTGTTTGCCTTCTGTTTTCAGTTGCAGAACGCAGTGAAACTGTTAGACTCAGGAGCTGTAAGGGCCACGAGGTTCCTTTGGCGGTACCCGATAGCTCGGATTTCCCTACTCTTTTACCTTGTGAGGCGCTCTCTTACCTATTTCAATCTCATTCGCCGAACTTATGAATTTACGGAAACCTTTTAACCTCCATCATCAATGAATTCGCAGATCTTTGTTCATCTCTTCTTGATGTATCTATTACACCGGCTCCAGGTATGTTTGGTCCTTTTACACTGACGATCACATCAGAGTCATGGAATTCGAATGCTTGATCTAACGCTCTTGTGTAGGAGCAAGCCGAGGCCCAGGAAGTTTCGGAAATGGCCAACAACGTTTTCAGACCATAACAGATACTACAAGGAAAGCAAATAGGAAAGCAAATGAATGGTGTTTTAAAGAGATTGCTGAGTGGAAAATGGAAGCAGCATGCATACTTATGGATTTTTCATAGAGAAGGTTTTTAAACTTTTGTTTTGTTTTACGGAAGCTGGTTCTCACAATTCCATTTTGCACCAGATTTTTTCCGTCTCCTCTAACAGTTGGAGTGGCAAGAACACAATGTTGGTGGTAAATGGTGTTTATAATATAATTATATTGGTTTGTCTTTGGAGTTTTTTTTGGTCACACTAAGCTGAACGTGTAACTATTATTTTCTGAGTGAAACGAAAAATTTAATCAGAGTAAACAATAGTTACGGAAAAAAGAAACAAACAAACAACAAAACCATTTTGGTTTGTAAATGGTAAGAGAAGAAGAGGCTTTTTGTCCTACATAATGAATCATATAACTATGTTTCTTATGCTTAACCCTGCCTGTCTCAACAGCTTCAAATTGGTTACCTGAAGATAATGGAAACAAACAGCTTGAGAGAGCAACAGTAAGAAATCTTCTGGACGTTTTCAAGGCGGGAGAACAAAATGTTCTTTATCATCGTTCAAGGAAAAACCGGCTGGTGTAGGAGTCCCGTTGTTTCAGGATATCCCAACATTATGTTCAGATTCTGCAAAGCTTGCCCCGAAGCTCCTTTCACGAGATTATCAATCTGCAACAACAAATATAGTTTAGTACAAAATGGCGTTGTGAGGAAAAAGATATCGAGTTTATAACAGAGGATGATTCTATGCTTACCACTGATATTATGATAGCTCTTCCCTGGATTCGATCAGGAAAGACATTCATATAACAATAGTTGGATCCTCTAACGTTGGTGTTCGAGGAACAACTCCTTCATCCAACACTTTGACAAATTCCTCATCCTAGAAAACATTTTTGAAACAAGATAAGTAACTTACAAAAGTATCATTTGGCTTATAACACAAAAGCAATCATCACCTCATAAGACGTTCTTAGTTGCTGATACAAATCTTCGGTTCTAACCCCGGGAGCCATTTCCACATATATAGTCGATTGCATACCGCGTATCTACACATTAAACGAGGGTTAAATAAAAGGCATAAGATAAAAAACTGTATAGAGAAGAATAAGCTTAAGATTATTAATACCATTGGCATGAGATGAGGCGTAAAACTGACTGTTACTTTTGATTGTGCAACATCAGCTAATCCTTGTTCAATTTCAGGAACTGTAAAACAAAAGAGAAATTTTGAATAAACAAATCAAAGAACACAAAATTTTGACTCATTTGTGATAATCAATTTGTGACATATACCATGGCGATGACGTGTGACACCATAAGAAGAAATGCCTTCAGCGATTTCAGAGTAAAGATTCGCCTCCTTTGCACCACGTCCTGATTGAAAATTTCTTATCAGTCAAGAAACAAAAAACAATCTACTGCATCGTTGTTCATGATTAAAGACCGCAAAGTAAGCTCAAACCTGCTCCACTAACACCAGATTTTGCGTCGATAATAATGTTTTCATGTTTGATGAGATTTGCCTGCACCAAAACTCAACACATTCAGACAAGACAGTCTGATACAATTAAAAGAAACGGAAAAAAAAATAAGAAACTAACCTTTATTAAAGGAACAAGAGGAAGTTGAATGGAAGTCGGGTAACAGCCTGGGTTAGCCACCAGTCGAGCCTTTTTGATGTCCTCCCTTAGAATCTCTGTTAGGCCATACACAACTTCTTTCTGAACCCAGCATGACAATAAGGTAAATGAATGCAATATGTACACAACAGATCAAGCAATAGCTTTTGAGAGTTAAAGTACCTGTAACTCTACAGCCTTGTGTGGCTGACCATACCATTCTTCATATTCTGAGATATCACGCAACCGGAAGTCCTAAAAGCGTAAATTTAAATTAGCATATCACCGAGCAAAGAAGAGAAAAAAAGAATAGTTTCTTCAGGGCATTACAGCTGAAAGATCAACGATTTTTAATGAGGTGGGAAGTCCCATGATGATTTCCTGTCAAAATACACAAACCCATTACTGTTAAGCTACGAAACACTTCAATTTTATAATGAAAGAACCAAAAAGCAAATGGACCTGAGTTGTTCCGTGAGGTAAACAGCAGAATACAGCATCCACTGTAGAAAAGTCTGCGTCTTTGACAGAGATAAGTCTAGGTAGTTTCTGAAGATAAGAAAGAAAAAGGATCACAAAGCATATCATTTGAACAGATTCATGGCCTGGAATTTTGTTAGAGATGGAAATGGCTATACTTGAGCTCTCAGGTGCGGGAAGACACTTTCCATTGACTGGCCAGCTTTTCTATCAGCAGTCATCAGAGTGACACGGAAATGCGGATGATTTGCAAGAAGCCTAACGACCTGCCATTCAATAAGAAAAAAGATTCCAAAACCAAAACTTACTAACTCATGCATTTGAATCAAACCTCAGATACCAAATTCATTCTTTCCCATGTAATGTTAAAAGAACCTTAGGAAACGGATGATTATAAGGATTTTGTCTTCCGTTTACTAGTGAGATTACTGACCAAGAACAAGACGCATACCACTTAAGAGATCACTGAAACAAGCAATCAAACAGAAGCATTGGATACTGCACAAACCTCAGCACCAGTGTAGCCACTTGCACCAAGAAGACCAATCCGAATATCCTTTTCAGTTTGTGCTGAGCTACTGGCTAAAACTCTGAAGCTCCTTGAAGATGGAGAAGCCACATGAGATCCCAAAGTAAGCCTCTTGACTCGCTTATCCACTACACGAATCTTCCTTTCTCCCTATTTAAAAATAAAAGGCACATTTGCATAATGATCAGATTACTTGAACTTTCTTCGTTGAATTTCATCAATGTGGATTCAATGGAGAATCAGAAAGTGGAAACACCTTGAAACAGCATCCTCGTTCGAAGAAACATGAACTAAAAGTGGACGCACCAGTCATTCTTGGATTGGATTCTGCAACAGGAAGAAAGACTAAATCTTTTAAACTCTGAATAAAAACAAGAACTTGGCTTCGCTGAAGATAATTTGAGATTGAGATATCTTACATGGAGTCCTTGTCGTGAACTGAAAATTGCATAAGCCCTTAAGCGAGGCTGGACGGAGCGATTGCAATTGCGATCGCAGAAACGCGAGTTAACTCGGGCGGCGACAAAAACTATGGCATTTTGGTAATTCTAGGGGTAGAGGCATGGCACAATTGTCAATTACCTCACCAAACGGCTACATGTTGTGTGTGTAGAGAGAGAGATATAAAATCACATCTATCAAGTCAAATAAAATCTACAGAAGAAAAAAAAGCTTCAAGTTTTATTCATCTTGTGTCGTCAAATCAAATCTACAGAAACAAAAAGCTCCAATTTTTTTTCTTCTTGTATCGTCAAATCAACGAATCACATCACTCTGGCTCTTTTGTTTTATCTTCAAAATCCTGCATAAAAAACACTGGTGTGTGAGAGAAGAAAGTGTGAAATTTTTCTACGACAATCGAAAATGATAACTGCTAGTAGTTCGTATTTTAATGGCGATGATCAACTTACTTCGCGGCCAGTGATGGTTCTTCCGGGTCGGCTTGAACGCCTTTTGGATAGAATATACAGCCAACACAAATGTTCTCCGATAAATGATGAGTCGAGGCAGAGACTGTCCTCGATTCCAGAGGACTTAGCTTTTGAATTGCTCAGGAAAGCTTTTAACTCGCCGGTGATGTACAACCTCGACGGGTTCATCGTCTCCAAGTTTAACCAGGCCGTCTCTGTTACTGGCTCTCCGCGGCTGAGCTCCGGTGGGTCTCCGGCGAAGTCTCCTCCTAGTTCATCTCGAAAACACGGCTCTAGAGTTCATCAAGGTCAGTATCAGAGATGCAGAGTCTATTGTATGTTTCAAAGTTTTGGTTTTTGGAGGAATTTATGATCGAGTTTTCCCCGATTGTAGAAGAGATGTCACTTGATTTTGAAGCTCCTTCTCCTGAGTCTTTGAGAAGAGGAGACATTGGAGGATCTCCGCACATTCCTCCTCAGATCTTAGCTTTGAGTGAACTCGAGTTTAAGAAGGCGTTTCTGTTGCTTAGCTATTTTCCAGGGTATGTTCAAGTTTTCGACTTTTTTTTACCCATCATTATCATCTCTTTTCCCTTCGTAACAGTTACCTTTTTTTTTATGTCTTATAGGCAATCTCTGGCTGAGGTTTTATCCGCTGATGAGATCAGGCAATGGAAAGATCTGCCTATGGTTGCATATGAAGCTGCGGTTTGGGACCGCTTAAGCCGGCTTGAACTTTCCCAAACAGTCGAAAGAGTGGTATGACTGTTTGTTCTTCTGTTCTATTTGGTATTATTTATATTCCATGTTTGCATTTCTAAAGGTGAATTGACAAGAAATAGAGACATATTTTGTGCTATCAATCTCTTCTTGGGAGTTATCAAAGTTGTTGTAGTTGTTTCGTCTTACATGTTTTCTTTTCCACAGTCGCTTGAATGGGATAGCGAGAAGACTCACTACTATCAGTGTCATGTTGCTTCCGACGGTAGTTACACATTCAAGGTTCATTCCTCTCTTCAAATACTATCTTTCAAAGGTTGCATTTTCCCATGTCACTCTGTGTTAAAAATTTTTGATTCAAGAGATACTTCTAGAGGCCCTTAAGCCAATTTGCTATCATCTGTATATTAAACATTGTACCTTAGTGGTAGTGTAAAGTCCTAGACACTGACTATCTAGGCTGTTACTTATCGACACACTGTGTTCTCAGGGCCCTCTTCTTGAACCCACTGGAACACACCTGCACAAGGTCTTGGGTGATGAAAATGTTTTAACGGTCAAATTTGCGGATGTCCAGAAAAACTCGTCAACCTACAGTAATGACCGTTACTCTGCATACAAAAGGATTGCCAAGAATGGTATCATGGTTGGTTTACGTCGTTATCAGTTTTTTGGTGGGTTGTTTTCCTTTTTTTTCTCTTGATTAATAACATTTCATGTCATTGCACATACAACACTTCTCATTGTCAGATACTCTTGCTTTGGATATTTTTCTAACATTCGATAGAACAGTTTTCAAAGATGTAGGGAAAGCAGAAAAGAAGAAAGATTTTTCTACGAATGGAGTGAAATGCTACTTTATACGCACGGACTCCACTGCTGCGAATGATATGGGAAAGGCCTATATATTTTCTGGGAAGACGATCAATGAGGCTCGTATGCATTTTATGCACGTGCATACATTGCCATCTTTGGCCAAATATATGGCAAGGTACTCAAGTTTCTTCTCTTAATTAAGATATTCTACTGTTTCATCTTTGAGCTTATGTGGAGATCTTTACCTTTGTGATTGGAGTCAATCTTCTTTTTTTGATGCTTCAGGTTTTCTTTGATTCTGTCAAAGACTAAGAAGCTTGAAGTCGACATGACTGGGATTACCTACCAGGAGATCAAGGAGATACATTGCCATGTACGTCCTTCAGGAACTGTGTCTCTATCTAATTGGTTTTTACTTAGTCGTATTCACTATGTGCTTTGACCATTTTCACTCTCTTCCGAAATTGCAGGATCAAAATAATAATGTAGTTCTTGATAAGAATAAGGAACCTCGTATGCATTCAGATGGAACTGGCTACATCTCTGAGGACCTTGCTCGGATGTGTCCAGTGAATATATTTAAAGGGAAATGTCTCAGTAAAAAAAATATTCAGGTTTTTTCTCTATTTCCATGACAGTTCAATTCAATGGTTGTTTATGAGCCCTTTGTTCACTCCTTCTTACTCTGTGTTTCGTTTTCTTATTTGTTTTGAATCACAGGAATCCTGTGGCCAAGACCCGGTATGTAATATAGTTATGCTTGATTCTATATTTTGCCTATTACTTTACACAAGTAGTAACAATGACTTTTGTCCAACAGCCTCTTCTGATCCAGTTTCGAATGTTTTATGATGGCAATGCTGTTAAGGGAACTTTTCTCTTAAACAAGAAAGTAAGTCTGCTCTCGTTCACATTACAACATTTTTTTTTCGGTTTAGATATTCCTAATATTTCTCCATTATGTGGCAGCTTCCTGATCGGACTGTCCAGGTTAGACCTTCTATGATCAAGGTGTCTAAAGATCGAGCCTTGTCAAATTTTAGCACCTTTAACTCCCTGGAGGTTGTCACTACAAGGTATGAGTTTCTTGGATACTGAATTGCTCTCACTTGATGTCCTTATTGTGAAATGAAATTATCCTAGTGACATCTGGTTGTTTCCATCATCCAGTAATCCACCAAAAAGAACAAAGCTATCAAGAAATTTGGTTGCGCTGCTTAGCTATGGTGGAGTCCCGAATGAATTCTTTTTGGATTTATTGCTCAATACGATGGAAGAGACGAAAACCATATTCAACAACAAACGTGCTGCTCTTAAAGGTGCTTACAATTTCAAAGCTTTCTGGTTCTTTTGCAAATTTTCTGAAATCATGTCCCTGAAACTGCTCACTTAAGTAACTTAAGATGGATCTTTAAAGAAGTCAATTTGTTTGTGCAGCTGCCCTAAATCATGGGGATATGGACGACCAGAACGCTGCACAAATGATATTGGTTGGTATCCCACTTGACGAACCACACTTGAAGGATCGTCTGTCTATTCTTTCAAACATAGAGAAGAATGATCTCAAAGCAGGAAGGCTTCCTGTGACCGAATCATACTATCTAATGGGCACTGTTGATCCCACCGGAGAGCTAAAGGAAGATGAAGTCTGTGTCATCCTGTACGCTTCCCAATCTCTTGCTCTTTTAGTTTGAGCTTTTACATGGAAACTTCAAGAAACAGTAACTTGCTTCCTTGGAATTGGGAGTCTGAGCTGTTCATTTCCTCATTTCTTTCTTTTTTTTTTCGTGGTTTTGTAGTGAGTCTGGCCAAATTTCAGGGGATGTGCTAGTTTACAGGAATCCTGGAGTACATTTTGGAGACATACATGTACTTAAGGCTACATATGTTAAGGCCTTGGAAGAGTATGTCGGAAACTCCAAATATGCTGTGTTCTTCCCTCAGAAAGGTCCAAGATCTTTGGGAGATGAGATTGCAGGTGGTGACTTTGATGGTGATATGTATTTCATATCCAGAAACCCAGAGGTAATCCACTGCATTAGAAAGTAAAAATCTTCATTGTTGTGACCTGATTTTCTTTGGTTTTGCTTTCTGTTTTAGCTACTTGAACAATTCAAGCCAAGTGAACCGTGGGTGAGTTTGTCTCCTCCTAGTAAAAGTAACTCTACTAGAAAACCAATCGACTTTTCACCAGAAGAGTTGGAAGAAGAGCTCTTCGATATGTTCTTGAAGGCAAGATTTCATTCCAGGTACTCTCAACTTACTATGAACTCTAGATTCAAAACTGTGTCTTGGATCAATCTTTGGGATTTATTTCTCTCTTTTTTTCCTCGGGTTTACAGCAATGTTATAGGGATGGCTGCGGATAGCTGGTTAACAATAATGGACCGTTTCCTCACACTAGGAGATGAGAGAGCTGAGGAAAAAGCTGAGATGAAGAGGAAAATGTTAAGTCTGATAGATATATACTATGATGCTCTTGATGCAGCGAAGAAAGGAGTCAAGGTCTCTCTCCCAGACGCGCTGAAGCCTGACATTTTTCCACATTACATGGAGCGGGATAAAAAATTCAAGTCCACTTCCATTCTTGGAATAATCTATGACTTTGTTCAATCGCAGACAGCAGAGGAACACACACCATCATCTGGTAAAGGATCTCTCTTGTTACTGACTGAGTACTAATAATCAGAACACACAAGAAATCATTATATATCATGGTATGTGTTTAACTGTGGTTTACAATTCAGAGATCAGTAAACTCCAATGTTTTGAAGATGAGCCGGTCTCTGAGTTTCACAAGGAGAAATGTAGACCATGGTATGATAATTACAGGGCTGAGATGATCCAGGCGCTGAGTAATAAGGATGATACAGCCAGTGAAGTTATTGAGAAATACAAGCAGGTAAGCTCCTCAATCTTGTGCCACCAATAACCTCAATGGATCGCGGATGTTTTTCTTGAATTGTCCCACAGAAGTTTGCCACCAACAGGAGTTAATCTAATGCTTTATAAACAAACAATTCTGAAACGGTTTATTCTTGTTTGTCAGGAGTTCTATGGTGCTGCAGGGTTTGAAGACAGCAAGAAAAGTCTGGAAGAACTTTACCCGCAAGCCTTGGCACTTTACAACATCGTTTACGATTATGCAATCGAAATGAAAAGCGTTCGAAAATGCGGGTTTGCTTGGAAGGTTGCAGGACCGGTCCTGTGCAGGTTCTACCTTAAGAAAACTGGAGGAAAAGCTTTACTGTGTTCACTCTCTATGCTGAAAGAGCTGTGGGGTTGAGCACAATTGACTTGTTCCTGCCCTGTTCTGGTAATAAGACTAAGCCTTTTGTTGTCTTCTTCATGTATCATAACAAGCGTGTGAGGCAAGTATGCTACCTAAGTTGCAAACCTTATAGGTTACGGTATCCAATCAAGATGTGGTGTGGTGCTTTTATTTAGTTCTATCTAATCTACAAGTAGTCTTGTAGTGTATGTTAATTTTGTGTGTATTGCTCCAAAGACAAAACAAGTTATGTTAAATAAATGAAAGCATGTATTATGTAAGGTGTCGTAATATATATTTTCAGAATATTAGGTGTGTACCAGCGTCCTGGTCCGAAGCAAATGGAAGAAATTTGACCAAAAGTAGGATAATTTGTCATCGGCAAGAAAGGTGTGGCAGCTTTGTAATTCTGGTGCTCGTGGTTGGGCATTTCGGTGAAAACAAAACAGTCTAAACATCAATAAACGGCTAGATTTTTGTACCGTATAGGGTTTAGACTTTAGAGTCTCTGTGGAGTCACAAAACTCACAAAAAATGAGTGGCAGAAGAAAAAGACATCAAGTTTTCTGGTCAGAGAGTGTCGTCAGATCAGTTAGGAAAAGGAAGAAACTTTTGGAGAATATGGCCAAAAAGCAAACAGTGAACCCTCTCTGTTTCTACTGGCTATTATATATTTTTGATGAACCCTTGAGACATTGAAGAATTGGGAGGGAAAAATATGCTGACCACTACGTATCTTAACATCGCCGATCAAGCTTCTTCGCCGTCAGAATTCCCTCTTCCGGGTCTCGTTGAAACTGTTTTGGAGAAATCTACAAGAAACATAATCATCCTCCGATAAAAGTGGAGACAAGGCGGAGACTTTCTTCGATTTCTGAGGAAGTGGCTTTGTCTGCGCACAGTAAAGTTTACAATTCCAAGTATGTGAGAGGGACCCTTGATGGGTTCATCATATTCATATATTTTGTTAACTCTAATGGCTCTCCACGGCCTAGCTCCGGCGAGTCTCCGTTACAGTCTCGTGGTAAAAAGTGTTGCAGGCTCTTTCAAGGTCAGTATCTCTTTCTTTCTTTCTTTCTTTTCTGATGGATTTTTCGATCAATACAGATTCTTACTATGAGTGTGTTTGATTGTAGCGGAGATGTCTCTTGATTCGGAATCTCCTTCTCCTAAGCACTTGAAAACAGAAGAGAAAGGCGTCTCTAAGCACATTCCTCAGCTATTAGCTTTAGGTGAACTTGAATTCAAGAAGGCGTTACTGTTGCTTAGCTACATCCCAGGGTGTGTTTGGCCTGCAAATTTTCTACCTTTTTTACCATCGGTTGTATTTGTTTCTTCAAAAAATGTGTTATCTTTTGGTGTCATATATATACAGGAAATCCCTGGCTGAGGTTATAACTGCTGATGAGATCAGACAATTGAAGGATTTGCCAATGGTCGCATACGAAAGAGCGGTTTGGCACCGCTTAGGCCGGCATGTTTGTTCCCAAAAGGAACGAAGAGTGGTATGGCAGCTCTCTGTTCTGTTCTCTGTTCTGTTCTCTGTTCTGTTCTCTGTTCTGTTCTCTGTTCTGTTCTCTGTTCTGTTCTCTGTTCTGTTCTCTGTTCTGTTCTATTGCATACTGCAACTTCTTTTGAACTTAAAATTTGGTGTCTTTCTGAATGGGTTGACAAGAAATGGAAAGTAACTTCTTTTGAACTTAAATTTGGTGTCAAATTTGTACTAAACTGCTTCTTTTTTCTTCTTCTTTTCCCCAGTTGCTTAAATGGGATAGCAGGAAGACTCTTTACTATCAGTTTCATGTTGCTCCTAACGGTAGTTACACATTCAAGGTTCATTCCTTTCTTCATGTATTATCTTTTATGTTAGCATCCTCACGTGTTGCACTTGCATGTCCCTGGCAGTCCCTTACTAATTGATAGACTGTGTTCACAGGGCCCTCTTCTGGAGAAAGCTGGGACACACCTGCACAAAGTACTCCTCTTCTGTCCATCGCATTTGAAAGTGTAAATCCTTCAATGCTGAGACCTGAAGAGTTAGAATTTTTCTTGTTTAGCTACTCCAACACTTCAAGCCAAGTGAACCGTGGGTGAGCTCTTCTCCGCCTAGTAAAATTTACACTGGTAGAAAGCCAAGTGAACTTTCACCAGAAGTGTTGGAAGAAGAGCTTTTCAAAATGTTTTTGAAAGCAAGATTTCATTCCAGGTACATAATTATAATTCTTGGCTCAGATTAGATGAACGATTCTCGGTTTTGTAAGGATCATTCTTTATGTCTTTTGGTTGAAATTTGCCTTGTTTTCTCGGTTTACAGAAACGTTATAGGGGCAGCTGCAGATAGCTGGCTAACAATAATAGACGGTTTCTTCACTTTAGGAGGAAGAAAAACATGCTAAAGGCTATTGATATATACTATGATGCTCTTGATGCACCAAAAACTGGGGCTAAGGGTCGATCTCCCGTTAGACTTAAAGCTCGACAGTTTCCCACATTACATGGAGCGTAAGCATAAGAGAAGTTTCAAGTCCACTTCTATTCTTGTATTCTATGACATTGTAGTATCTCAGATTGCAGAGGAACCCCCTGGTACATATCTTTCTGTTATAATCGATAATCAGAGTACACAATAACTCGGTCGAATTATGTTTTAACGTCTTAATTAACTGTATGTTACAATGCAGAAATCAAGAAAATCCAGTGTTCTGAAGATGTGCTGGTCCCTGAGTTTCACATGGAGAAATGTAGATGCTGGTACGAGAAATATAGAGATGAAATGAAGAAGGCAATGCAAACCGATGAGAATAATAAGAATGAATCAGAAAATGAAGTTATCCAGAAATACAAGCAGGTAATCTGCAATCACCAAGAATCGATCTAATGCTTTATAAAAAACTCATCGGTTGAACGGTTTCTTCTCTGTATCAGGAGTTCTATGGTGCTGCAGGGTTTGAAGATAGCAAGAAAAGCCTAAAAGAATTATACTTACAGGCCTTGGCACTTTGCAACATCGGTTACGACTTTACAACATCGCTTACGAAGGTTGCAGGACCGGTCCTGTGCAGATTCTACCGTGAGAAAACGCGGAGAAGTCAATCAAAAAGTATTTGGGTTAAACACACTTACTGTTCAATCCTGTTCTGTTCTGATAAAAATAAGCCTTGTGTTGTCTTCATCTCATAAGATGTGTATTAGGCAAGTATCTTACATAAGTAACCTAACTTATAGGTTAAGCTATGTGGTGTAGCGCCTTTGGTTTAGTTCTAATCTTAGAGTTGTCCTCTAGTGTTCAAATTTTTCCTCTGTGTATATCTGCTTATGAAATTTAAAAAAAAAATCATGTTAAATAAGACAAAGCTTATTGCGACAAAAAACTAAGCTTATATTTAATTTTCAATTAATTGAACGTGGCGACTTATGAGTCCTTGTGGTGTACAAAGCTGTCTTCTTCAGTGTGACACATCTCTGCATCCTCAAGCTTCCATTTGGATTTCTCCACAACCTTCTTCTTCCCATTACCTTGGAAATAGAAAATTTTTGTTCCATATTTCTTGCCTAGTAAATTTGTAATTCTTTCTTCAGATTTCGTGGTCCTTTTGAACTTTACCCGCAAGCCTGCCTTGGCACTTTGTAATTCTGGTGTTCGTTGTTGGGCATTTTTGGTATATAAAAAAGCTAAACATCAATTTTAAACAAGAGTCAAATTCACAAAACTGATTCGCAGAAGAAAATAAAAAGATATCAAATAGTTCTTGTCAGAGTGTCGTCAAATCAACAAAGTCGCGCCAGTTATCAGCTAAAGGAAGAAACTTTTTGATAATAATGGCAAAAGCCAAACAGTGAACACTTGAACACTCTCTGTTTCCACTGGATTATATATTTTTGATGAACCCTAGAGAAACTGTAGAATTAGAGTAAAACAATGATGACCACTACAAATCTTAACATCGCCGATCAAGCTTCGTCTCCGTCAGAAATCCCTCTCCCGGGTCGCGTTGAAACCGTTTTGAGGAAAATCTACGGGAAACACAATCAACCTCCGATCAAAGTGGAGACAAGGCGGAGACTTTCGTCGATTTCTGAGGAACAGGCTTTGTGTACGCTCAGTAAAGTTTTCAATTCCCAGTATGTGAAAGGAACCCTCGACGGGTTCATCATGTATTTCTTTAATTCTAATGGCTCTCCAAGCCCGAGCTCCGGCGAGTCTCCGGTACAGTCTCCTGGTAAAAAATGTTGCAGGCTCTTTCAAGGTCACTATCTCTTTCTTTCTTTCCTTCTTTTTTGATGGATTTTGGAGATTCAAGAAGACTTTTTTTACTATAGAGTGTGGTTTGATTGTAGCAGAGATGTCTCTTGATTCGGAATCTCCGTCTCCTAAGCTCTTGAAAAGAGAAGACAAAGGAGTCTCTAAGTACAGTCCTCAGCTATTAGCTTTAGGTGAACTTGAATTCAAGAAGGCGTTTCTGTTGCTTAGCTACATCCCAGGGTGTGTTTGGCCTGCAAATTTTCTACCTTTTTTTTACCATCGGTTGTATATGTTTCTTCAAAAAATGTGTTCTTTTTTGGTGTTATGTGTACAGGAAATCCCTGGCTGAGGTTACTATAACTGCTGATGAGATCAGACAATTGAAGGATTTGCCAATGGTCGCATATGAAGCAGCGGTTTGGCACCGCTTTGGCCAGCAATGTTGTTCCCCAAAGGAGCGAAGAGTGGTATGGCATCTCTCTGTTCTGTTCTAATGGATACTGCAACTTCTTTTGAACTTAAAATTTGGTTTCAAGTTTGTACTAATTGCTTCTTCTTGTTCTTTTCTATAGTCGCTTGAATGGATAGCGGGAAGACTCTTTACTATCAGTGTCATGTTGCTGCTGATGGTAGTTACAGACTAAAGGTACAATTTGGCTCTCCAAGCACTATCCCTCTCAACTGTTTCACTTGCATATGTTCTTTGTTATAAGAATATCTGAATTCAAGAGACACCTCTAGGACAGTGCCTTAATATGCCTGTTACTTATTGATAGACTGTGTTCACAGGGCCCTCTTATGGAGAACACTGGAACACACCTGCACAAGGTTTTGGGTGATGATAATGTTTTAACCGTCAAATTCGCAGACGTGCCAGGCGAGGAAACTTATTGTAATGACCTTTACTCTACATACAAAGGGATTGCTAAGAATGGTATTATGGTTGGTTTGCGCCGTTATCAATTTTTTGGTGGGTCTTTTTCCTTGTTACTATTTATATCACTGCACATACAACACTTTACATTGTTCAGGTGCTAATGACATGTCTAGCAACACTTTTCATACTTTCGCTCTATTTTTCGAACTGCATAAAGTAGCTTTTTTATTTTTCCTTCAAACAGTTTTCAAAGATGGTGGGAAAGAAGAGAAGAAGAAAGATTTTTCAACAAAGGGAGTGAAATGTTACTTTATACGCACAGACTCAACAGCGTCAATTGATTTGCAAAACCCCTACTTCTTCTCTGGGAAGTCAATTCATGAAGCTAGAATGCATTTTATGCATGTGAACACATTGCCATCTTTGGCTAACTATATGGCAAGGTACTCTGAAGATATTCTACTGTGTCATCTTTAAACACTTCTAGAGATGTTCTCCTTTGTAATCAGAGTCACCTTTGTTTTGTTCATGCTTCAGGTTTTCTTTAATTCTGTCAAAGACTAAGAAGCTTGAAGTTGACATGACTGGGATTACATTCCAACAAATCGATGATATACACTGCCATGTACGTCCTTAATTCATGTTTTGTTCAGGAACTGCGTCTCTTTGTAATGCCTTTACTTAGTTGTTTGACCATTTTCACTCTCTTCCAAAATTCCAGGATCAAGAAAATAATAATGTTCTTGATAAGCATGGGAAACCTTGTATACATTCAGATGGAACTGGCTACATCTCTGAGGACCTTGCTCGGATGTGTCCAACAGATATTTTTAAAGGGAAATGTATTGGGATTGACAATATTCAGGTCTTACATCTACTTCTAGGACTATTTTGATGGTTGCTTGGTTTCCTTTTGTTCACTCTAGTTTCCTTATCATGTTTATGTCTTATTTGCTTTAAATCGAAGAGTAAGATTCCAAATGTTGAAGCACAGGGAACCTGTGGCAAAGAGCCGGTATGTAGTTTACACTCTTATGTTTTTAGTTCGATTCTCTATTTGTTTACAAGTAGTAACTACTTAACACAAGTAGTAACTATTCTGTTTTTCCCAACAGCCTCTGCTGATCCAGTTTCGGATGTTTTATGATGGCTATGCTGTTAAGGGAACTTTTCTCCTAAACAAGAAAGTAAGTGGACTCTCTTTCATGTCACAAAATCTGGTTTGCAAGGTATTCCTAATTTTTTTCTTCATTATTTGGCAGCTTCCTGATCGGACTGTCCAGGTTCGACCTTCTATGATCAAGGTGTATAATGATCAAACCCTGTCAAATTTTAGCACCTTTAACTCCCTGGAGGTTGTCAATACAAGGTAGTTGTCTCTTGCATTTTTGTTATCTTGAAGCTGAACTTATTGCTCGATGTTCTTATCTGGTGATCTCTTGTTGTTTCCATCTTCCAGTAATCCACCAAACAGGACAAAGCTATCAAGAAATCTTGTCGCGCTTCTGAGCTATGGAGGAGTCCCAAATGACTTCTTTTTGGATATATTGCGCAACACTTTGGAAAACTCAAAAACTATATTCCAGAATAAACGTTCTGCGCTTAAAGGTGCTTAGAAACCTTAAGCTTTCTGGCTCTTACACTACTGAGTGAACTAACTTAAGATGTGTCCTGAATTTTTATTAAATTTATTTTGTTTGTGCAGCTGCGCTTAATTATGGAGATATGGACGACCAGAACGCTGCACAAATGATATTGGTTGGTATCCCACTAGACGAACCACACTTGAAGGATCATCTGTCTATTCTCTTACACACAGAGAAGAATGATCTCAAAGCAGGAAGGCTTCCTGTGACTGAATCATACTATCTTATGGGCACAGTTGATCCCACCAGAAAGCTCAAAGAAAATGAAGTCTGCGTCATCCTGTATGCTACCCAATTATTCTTTTTGATCTTTTAGTTTGAGTGCATATGCTTCCTTGGTAATATGATTTTTTTCTCTAGATTTATCTCTTCATTTCCTCATTGTTCTCTCTTTTGTGGTTTTGTAGCGAGTCTGGCCAAATTTCAGGGGATGTGTTAGTTTATATGAATCCCGGATTACATTTTGGAGACATACATGTACTTAAGGCCAAATATGTTAAGGCCTTGGAAGAGTATGTAGGAAATTCCAAGTATGCTGTGTTCTTCCCTCAAAAAGGTCCAAGATCTTTGGGAGAATGAGATTGCAGGTGGTGACTTTGATGGCGATATGTATTTTATTTCCAGAAACCCCAAGGTACTCCTCTTCTGTCCATCGCATTTGCAAGTAATTTCTTCAATGCTGAGACTTGGCTTATGAACCGTAAACCTTTCTTGCTTAGCTACTCCAACACTTCAAGCCAAGTGAACCGTGGGTGAGCTCTTCTCCGCCAAGTAAAACTTACACTGGTAGTGAGCCAAGTGAACTTTCACCAGAAATGTTGGAAGAAGAGCTTTTCAAAATGTTTTTGAAAGCAAGATTTCATTCCAGGTACACAGTTTAATTCTTGGCTCAGATTAGATGAACGATCTTCAGTTTTGTAAGGGACATTCTTTGGGATTTTGTGTCTATCTATCTAAATATGCCTTGTTTCTCGGTTTACAGAAACGTTGTAGGGGCAGCTGCAGATAGCTGGCTAACAATAATGGATCTTTTCCTCACGTTAGGAGATGAGAAAGTTAAGGAAAAAAACGGAAGAAAGAAAAAAATTCTAAAGGCTATTGATGTATACTATGATGCTCTTGATGCACCAAAAAAGGGGGCTAAGGTCAATCTCCCGTTAGACTTAAAGCTCGACATTTTCCCACATTACATGGAGCGTAAGCATAAGAGAAGTTTCAAGTCCACTTCTATTCTTGGACTAATCTATGACATTGTTGTATCTCAGAACGCAGAGGAACCTCCACCATCTGGTACGGATCATCTTGTTACGATGGATAAGAACTCGTCGAAGATGTTCTCACGTCTTATTGTCTTAATTGTATGTTACAATGCAGAAATCAAGAAACTCCCGTGTTTTGAAGATGAGCTGGTCCCTGAGTTTCACATGGAGAATTGTAGACGCTGGTACAAGAAATATAGAGAAGAAATGCAATATGCAATGGAAACCGATGAGAAGAATGAATTAGCAAATGAAGTTAACCAGAAATACAAGCAGGTAAGCTCCTCGATCCAGTGCAAAAATCTGAGCAAATGATAAGTACTGGGGAAGTCTGCAATCGACAAAAATTGATCTATTGGTGCTGAAACAACTCATCGGTTGAACTGTTTCTTCTCTGTATCAGGAGCTCTATGGTGCTGCAAGTTTTGAAGACAGCAAGATAAGCCTGGAAGAACTATACCTACAAGCCTTGGCACTTTACAACATCTCTTACGACTATGCCATCCTAAAGAACAAAGTTCGTTATTGCGGGTTTGTCTGGAAGGTTGCAGGCCCGGTCTTGTGCAGATTCTACCTTGAGAAAACGGATGAGAAGTCAATGCTCGGTTCAGTTTCAGTGCTCAAAGAGTATTTTTGTTGAACACACTTACTTGTCCTGTTCTGTTCTGCTCTTCTCATAACATGCGCGTTAGGCAAGTATCTGATCTAAGTGTCCTAAGTTGTAGGTTAAGAGCCATGTGGTGTAGTGCACGTGGTGTTGTTGTAATTTTAGATTTGTCATCTAGTGTACAAATAATTCCGTGTGCATATTTGTTTATGAATTAAATAAAAAAAAATCATGTTTGTTAAATAAGAGTAAGCTTATATTTAATTTCCAATTAATTGAACGTGGCGACTTCTGAGTCCACCATGTGGTGTAGAAAGCTGTCTTTCTCAGTGTGACACATCTCTGCATCCTCAAGCTTCCATTTGGATTGTCCACAACCTTCTTCTTTCCATGACTGTACAATAGAGAAAGTTTGTTTCAGATTTCTTGCCTTGTAATACTTTCTTCAGATTTGTGGTCCTTCTGGATTCGAAATTTCTACTTCTTTTTGCTTTTGTTTTTTGGATTGTGGTCATTGATCCTTTCAAGATGAAGAGTGTGACCAACTCGGATTTGAAATCCTCTGTCAATGGTGGCGTTGTTGATGTGTATGGAGAAGATTCAGCCACCACTGAGCACAACATAACTCCATGGTCTCTCTCTGTTTCTAGGTAAACAACATAACACCTCCATGTTCAGAGAACTAAGTTTCTATATTAAGAATCAAGTTAGTAACCTTTGTTTTCTTGTTTCAGTGGTTATTCATTGCTGAGAGATCCTCGCTACAACAAAGGACTTGCTTTCACTGAGAAAGAGAGAGATACGCACTACTTGCGCGGTCTTCTCCCTCCAGTTGTTCTTGATCAGGAGCTTCAGGTTAAAACTTGGTGATATAGTTCCACACTTCCACTTCCACTAATGGAGATTTATAGGAAAATACTTTTGTCAACGTTTTTTTGGGGTTTTCAATGATTTAGGAGAAGAGGTTGATGAACAATATCCGACAGTATCAGTTTCCATTACAAAAGTATATGGCCTTAACAGAGCTTCAGGTAAAATCAAATCCTGTCTGTTTAATCTAAAAATTTGTTGTATTAACAATTCAGAGAATGATGAATCTATCTTATTGGACTTTAAAAAAAAAAAACAGGAAAGAAACGAGAGGCTCTTTTACAAGCTGTTGATAGAAAACGTGGAGGAGCTTCTTCCTATTGTTTATACTCCAACTGTTGGTGAAGCTTGTCAGAAATATGGAAGTATTTTCAGGCGACCTCAGGGTTTATTCATCAGTTTAAAAGAGAAGTATGGGTTGTATCTTTTATCTTATGATTTTTCCCACTATGTAACTTTACTCATAGGCTCCGTATGTTCATATGCAGGGGAAAAATTCTAGATGTGTTGAAGAATTGGCCTGAAAGGAATATACAGGTCATTGTTGTTACAGACGGAGAAAGGATTTTGGGATTAGGAGATCTTGGATGTCAGGTAATTCCTCGGATGTTGCTTCATCTCGGTTTTGATATGATCTGAACAAGTTCCTGAACAGAGTTTTTTTTGTTTTGGTCTTTAGGGGATGGGTATTCCGGTTGGTAAATTGGCTTTATATTCAGCACTTGGAGGTGTTCGTCCTTCGATGGTAAAGGCTTAAGCTTACTAAAGGGTTTTTTTCAGTATTTTAGAAGTCAGTAATTTGAGACTATACTGCTTTTTCTTGCAGTGTTTACCTGTCACCATTGATGTGGGAACAAACAATGAGAAATTGTTGAATGATGAGTTCTACATAGGACTCAAACAGAAGCGAGCAACGGGACAGGTCCTTTTTGTTTTTCTTCTTGCACGCTGTAATCTTGTTTTTATAGGATTTTATCTAAAGACTTAAGTAGCTCTTTTGAAAACATTATTGCAGGAGTATAGCGAACTCTTGCATGAATTCATGAATGCTGTAAAACAAAACTATGGCGAAAATGTTCTTATACAGGTACTAAATTACGAAGTCTGGGATCTTGAGTATAATTCTGTGTAAGATTTTTTTATGTATATTGTTTGTTATCTTCCATTTGACACAGTTTGAAGATTTTGCAAATCATAATGCATTTGAGTTGCTTTCCAAATACCGCCACACTCATCTTGTCTTCAACGATGATATACAGGTAAGAGTTTATGAACTTGTCTTTTTAGTGTTTCTTGCTGTCTACATGGTTATTATCCATTTCAGGGGACAGCAGCAGTTGTTCTAGCGGGATTAGTTTCCGCACAGAAGTTAACGAATAGTCCACTTGCAGATCACACCTTCCTCTTTCTTGGTGCTGGTGAAGTAAGTATCAGTTTTTGGCAGAACATTCTGATCATTGTAGTCTTTGATGTCTTATACTGTTTGTTTTTTTTTTTGCAGGCTGGTACTGGAATAGCAGAACTTATAGCTCTCTATCTATCCAAACAGGTAATGAATCTTCTTGAAATTTGTGAAATATTTTGTCAGTTTAGTTAATCTCATCTTTCTTCTGCTCAGATGAATGCTTCGGTAGAGGAAAGCCGCAAGAAAATCTGGCTTGTTGATTCCAAGGTAGAAGAAATTATAAGCTAAACATAAGAGATTTCGTTGGACTACAGTGTGAAGCAAGTAGTTTGTTTTTTTTTCTGATAGGGACTGATTGTTAGCTCACGTAAAGATTCACTTCAAGACTTCAAGAAACCATGGGCTCATGAACATGAACCAGTCAAAGACCTCTTAGGTGCTATCAAGGTGCGAAAACTTCTACCTGTTAAGCGTCTTGATCCTCTTATTATCTCAATCTGTTGTCTTTCCTAATATGTTATATGTCTTGTCAGGCCATAAAGCCGACTGTTCTGATTGGATCTGCTGGAGTTGGACGGTCATTTACAAAGGAAGTAATTGAAGTCATGTCTTCCATTAATGAGGTATACTTTTTTCTAGTTATTATGACAAAGCATTTTTTGGTTAAAGAAGAAGAGAAACTAACAAAAAGATTTCTCGCAGAGACCTGTGATAATGGCTCTCTCTAACCCAACAACACAATCAGAATGTACAGCTGAAGAAGCTTATACGTGGAGTAAGGTAAAGTCTTTTTCCACACTGCACCGTTATTTCAATATGGCTGTCCCTCAAATGAAGTCTTAAGTTTTCTGATCTTTCTTGGAATGAAGGGTCGTGCGATTTTTGCAAGTGGAAGTCCTTTTGATCCAGTTGAGTATGAAGGAAGTGTGTTTGTGTCTACACAGGTAATAGAACAAACTTCTTCTTCTCTCTCTCTCTCTATCCACAGGTGCATGTAAGGAACTTGCTTACTAAAAAGCTCTTTTGCATTTCTTATAAAACACAGGCGAACAATGCGTACATATTCCCTGGTTTTGGACTTGGTTTGGTAATCTCAGGAGCAGTACGAGTACATGACGATATGCTTCTAGCCGCGGGTAAGTATTTCAAATGCCTTTTTAAATCTCAAAAGAGATGTAAAAAGCTCTTAAGCTTTGTGTTTTAACCGTGTAATAATATTAGCTGAGGCATTAGCTGGACAAGTAAGCAAAGAGAACTATGAGAAAGGAATGATATATCCTTCCTTCTCTTCCATCCGGAAAATATCAGCTCATATCGCAGCCAATGTAGCAACTAAGGCATATGAACTAGGTCTCTCTCCTCTCCCTGTCTTTCTCTGTCTCTCGCATAAGCCTTAAACTGCGGTTTTGAATTTTTATGTGGTTATGGCGGAAATGTTGGTTTGCAGGGGTGGCAGGGAGGCTTCCACGGCCTAAAGATATTGTCAAGTGTGCAGAGAGTAGCATGTACAGCCCCACCTACCGTCTCTACCGTTGAGACCAAGAACATGCTCAAACTCTGCTTTGTCTGTTAATTCCTTGTTTTACTTTAGGTTCCAATAATACCGAACTGTTTCAAGATTAATGTTCAGAAACGTGCAAGCTGATCATGTTAAACTTCGTTACTCGAATCTCTAATTCTACTCTTTGAGTGATATTTTTTCTTATAATGAGAGAGATTAGTAACTTAAAGGAGTTAATTTCTTATAGTATATATGCTATAAATATCTATTATATATCAAATATTAAAAAAAAAATACATCAGCAGCATGTGAGAATGATATAGTACAAAGAAAACAGTGGTATGTTACATAACAAACTAAACAGACGGATGATGGAGATTCAAAAATTACAGATATCAAGCTGATGAATGAAGAAGATGATGAGAAAATATTTCTTCCCAAAACGACTAAGTAAACCCATAAAACAAACAGAAATAAATCAATAAATAAAAATTTCCCAGAGGAGAATTAATTGCTTTCTTCTTCACCAATAAACATTTCGAAGCCAAAAAAAAAAAAAGATTAAAACAAAGATCAAATCTTCCCCCTCTGGAAAAAGAATCACCAACATTTCAAAGAATCATCAATTCACCCGCGAATTCCCGAGCAAAAAAAACTGACTTTTTGAGCTTTGCTTCTACTGTTATCTTAAACCCGACGACTTTTAAACATCAAATTTCTTCGGTTGTCGCCAATGAGCCAAATTTCTTCCCAATGAGCTTAAGAATGAAGCTTTCTGAGGAGCTCCTTTCTTACCATACAAGTGTTTGCCTCCTAAATCGGTCTTTGCTGGTACCATATCCTTTCTTCTCTCAATCTGAATATCACATTGCAACAATCTCAAATACGCTTAGTCTATGTGACATACTCAAGATCCGGTGGAAACTACTTAAACGTCTTATAGATGAGACTAACCTTGAAAATCTTTCCATTTTTCAAATGGTATCTGATTCCAGACCAGTTAATGGATTGAGAAAAGTGAGAACGGAAAGCTGAGATCGGGTATAGGAAGTTGTCCACTAGCATTGCTATAAATACCTGCAAATTTTTCCCCAAGATCAAACCGAAAAACTTTACCTCTGTTTCTTGTCATCACGACAACAACTTTCGACACCATTACTCAGATTTATGATCTAAACAGTAAAAGGGACAGAAAGCACGTACAAGTCCCCAGTTATAAGTTGCAAGTGAGAGACGGGGAGCCTCGGGGGATAACATATTGCATAGCGTAACTTCTCGTCTTGTCAAATTCCACATGGAAAGAAGTTCGATGAAGGTGCAGATCGCCAACATTATAACAAGCAA